TACTAAAAGAGATAGAAAAAATTACATATAAAAACCCTAAAAAATATCAATTTAGTCCCTTAAATTACATATAAATAACAAGAAATAAATGTTATTTTTATCCATGTAAAAAACTAAAATATGATTTTGACTAACGATCATTTTAAGGACTCAATTATATTAATATTTTTTAAAATATGATTAAAATCAATAAAATGTAAAGTAGAATTTTTTTAGGAAGCATTACACATAAGTCTCACCTAACACAATTAATTACTCTAATGTTCATTGACATTGTATTGTCATTCTCTTAAGTTCAGTTGTCAATTATCAATGGATATTAGAATAATTAATTATATTGAGTGAAAATTTACAGTAATTCTTCCTATTTTTTATTGTAGGTCTACAATAAAAGTATTTTTTTACTGTACATTGACAATAAAAAAGTATTCTACTTTAGTACCCAGTTTTTAAATTATAAGATACTTTTGAGAAAGATTCAGCGTACTAAAATATAAATATTTTGACAAAAATAAAGTTTTATTAATAATATTTTTTTAATATTATTATTCCCATATATGCTCTCTCCTTACTATTCTTTTATAAATGTAATATTAAATGGAGGGTATTTTTAATTTATATCTTGTATTAACAAAAGGTTATGAAGTGTATTTAATGAGCTTTTTGATATGTATAATTTTATCTAAAAGTGTCTTATAGTTTATAATGAAGGGACTATTATTCATTGAAGGTCCACAATAAAATTATTTTTTTTACTATACATGTACAATAAAAAAAAGTATTCCACTCTACTATCCTTATATCAAATTATAAGATACTTTTAAAAAAATTAAAGTATCAAATACAATATATTTTGACAAAAATAAGGTTTTATTAATAATATTTTCTCAATATTACCATTTCTATATATTTTGTCTTCTTAATATTTTTTTTTAAATAGAATATTAAATATAGAAATTTTTAAAAATTTATATTTTTGTATTAAAAAAGTAAGGTTGTAAAGTATATTTATAAAAAATTTATTGATATATATGTTTTTTTTAAAAGTATCTTATAATGTTAAAACAGATAGAGTATTATAATACTCTCCATGCCAATTATAAGATAATTTGATATAAGAATATACGTATCAATAAAAATAATAACGACACTTAACAAACTTATTTTTTTAAAATAAAATATAAACTTTTAAAAATATCCTTACATGTTCAATTATTATGTTATAATATCATTTTAATTTCTTTTCACTTGAAAGATATATATAAAAAAGTATCATGAATGAAACCTATTTTATTTTTAAATTATTTTATTTTTTAATAATATTTTTTTAAATTATCTTATAATTTAAGATAGATGGAATAGTAAATAAATAGATAATATATAACTTTTGCCTTCCTCCATTCCAAATCCTGTCCACCTGCTATGCTTTTTTAATACAATAATAACTAAATTTTAGACCTGTGTGATGCACACAAAAATTTAATCCTCTGATTGATTTGGAAGGAAAGAGGAGGAGGAAGATAACCCTAATGACTTAAATTAATAAATTTTAAACTTTTAACCTGAGTTCTATATTTTTGAAAAAATAACTGATGTCATTAAAACCGCGGGTCTTTCATTCCTGTCCTTTAAATCAAAGTACCCAATACACTATCAAAAACAAATAAAAGTAAAATATTTAGTAAACATTAAAACGATAATTTTAAAAAATAGCAACTAAAATGTATGAAATATTCATAGCAAAGAGAAATAATATATTTATTTTTTTGATTTAAAATTGATAGAAAGAGAACCAATAGAATAGCACAAAAGAACGTTAAAAAAAAATCCACACAGTACTACATCCTACATTTTTTTTGGGAAAATCATAGTAAAGGACTTCTAGAGTATTTTATCTAAGAAAAAGATTACAAGAGATTTTGCATTCACTCTACAGGATTAAAATATAATTAAATTTTAGTATACAAAGATTAAACTATTCCCTATTTTTTTAAAAAAAGAAATGTCCCATGGTCACCGGCCATTAGAGTTTCAGCATCAATGGCTTGACCACTCTATCGGGCCTAATGCCAAAACTCCAACATCAGTGACTGAATTGCTCTCCAATGCCAATCATTGAATTGATGAGGGAGATAAATTAAATTTTTTTAAGGTGGTCAAGTGAAGATATGGACCTACATTCCTTTGGCCATCAAAGATAGTTAGCCACTAGATTAATAATTTTTTTCAATTATATAATGTAATTTTTATATATATTTTACTTTATTTTACTTTCCATGCTAATACTTTTTATGAACTTAATGATTCCTTATCATTTCGTAAATGACTACTTGTTAAATTACTAATTAGACTTATTAAACAATTTAATAAGCACTTACTTTTTTATATAATTATTTATTTATTTTATTACCAAAAGCTTATATGTCAAGAGCTTATATGCACTTATTATTTTACTAAAATTTACTTGTCAAAATTAAAAAAAAATGTTTAAAGCTAATACGAAACTTATCATTTTACATATAGTTTTTTGTTCAACTAACAAAGGAAACTTGTTAAAGAAATTTAATATGAAGTAATTTTTATAAATATTTACATGTTTTTATTATCAAAAGCTCACATCTTAGAAGTATAAACTTGTTATTTAACTAAAATTTACTTGTTAAATTATTAAGAGAAATTTTTAAGCCAATAACAATATAGAGTGGTTTTTTATAAATATTTACTTTTTTATTATTAAAATTTCATATGTTAAAAATTTATATGAACTTGTTATTTTGCTAAAATTTACTTGTTAAATTATAAGAGAGATTTTCAAAAACAATGACGAGATTTGTCATTTTATAAATAGTTACTTGTTAAATTATTCATGAGGATTTATTTTAAATTATTAAGAGAAATTTTTAAAATTATAACATGATTTATCATTTCACAAATAGTTACTTATTAAATTATTACTGGAGACTTATCTTTTTAAATCATAAAAACAAGTAAACATTATAAAAAACTAGTGCATATTAATTTTTTTAACAAGTTTCATTAAATTTAACAAGTAGCTATTTTTGAAATAAAAAGTAACTATTAAGCTCCTAATAAGTATTAATATAAAAAGTAAACACACACATACTAACAAGTAGCCATTTTTGAAATAACAAATACCATTAAGCTCTTAACAAGTATTAACATAAAAAGTAACACACACACCACAAAGATTTGTATTATATATGTGAGATGGATTGCTAGTCTAGTGGTTAATTATTTATTTGGTCACCAAGGAGATATGGGTTTAACCATCCAGCTACTTTAAAAACTTTAATTTGTCTCCCTAAATCCAAAAGCCGATGATGGTAGGGAGATTTTTTTTTTAAAGGTTAAAGTGCTTTTTTAAATTCTTTAACTTTATATAAATTTAATTTAATTTAATTTTTTTAATTTTAAAAAATATCTTTTTAGTCCTCTAATCTCTGACATGTTTTGGTTTAAAATAATTATTTACATGCTAATCGTTGTTATTTCAAAAAAATTAAACTAATATGACAACATTTAAAAATATTTTATCAAAATTCAAAAGTTTATTGTATAAATCTTTTTTATTATGAAACTAAAGATGTTATAGTTAAAGGACTAAAGATATGCTTTATAAAATTAAAGAATTAAAATAAAATATTTACGTAAAATTAAAAAAAATTAAATATATACTTAGCTTTTTAAAAATGAAGAGTAATTTTGTCTTTTAATAATATAAAATTAATTATATTTTGATTTAGGATCCTGCAAAATGAGTTTAAATTCTTTGATCCTTTCTCTATAAATAAAATGTTCCAGAAGCCCTTCGCTATGATTTCCTCTCTCTCTCTCTCTTTTTTTTTGGGTTAGATTGGTGGATATTTCGTAATGTTGAAAGGAAGATACTATAAGATTAAGATAAATTATGGGGCACAGTAGAAAAAACAGTAAAAATATTGTACAATATTGTACAAATGACACTAATTCAATGCAATTTAAAAAAAGTAAAGAAGATATTTGCACGCGGAGACCCTACTAATGTTTAATAATAAATTAATAATATCAAAAGGCAAAATTCTAGTTTCATTTCACTCTTCGCTTCCTTATTTCTCCTTGGCTCCTCTCTTTTCGCCGCGGTGAGTCCTAATGAACTGCAACATTTCCACTTCGAGCTCCTCTGAGACGGTTTAGTGTGAAATGTCTTCTTTTCTTTTGTTTTGGTTTCTTTCAAATCTCTTTCATCCTCCATCTTCATCTGCTGTCTTCTGTCTTTCATTTCCTGAACCGATTAACTCGCTGAACCGATTTTTGACCAGTTGAATCAACCGACGGTCCGGGGTCTTTAAGCCTTGCTATTCAATGATGGTCTTATTATTATTCCAGTGGGCCCACCTGGCTTAAAGGGCCTTCTCCTCTTCCTAGCCACATGAAGCTGATCAAATATATCTCTTGGATCTCAGTCTGCTGCGTATACAAGTCCCTGCCGCATGTAATCAAAATATCAATAAATAAATTCTAAAACCTCCTTCATAAACACCGCGTATTGCAGTGTCTCTTCCAATTTCATGGGACAAATATTCACTGTATTCTCATTTCTCACGCGTCTCCAATTATTTTATTCTCTCACACAAGATCGTAGGTCCTCCACCGAACATGGAGTCTATCCAGTGTAACCAGCCTGCCCTGCAATAGAATGTGACCGATCGAGAAACTTCCTTTTATTACAGATAGGAACCTCCTATATATTTCTTGTTGAAAGAAAATGACTCATTTAATGTGGGTACGAATTATAAATTCAGATCGTTAAGATCTGGTTCCCTTCCACTATGAATCCAAAGATCTTATTCATGAAAATGAAAGGAAAACACCAGTTTCAAAGTAGTTGACAAAGACACGTCTATCAGGCCTTCAATGCTCGACGAGACACAACGTAAGTTCGGTAACTTTCATTTAGATTTTTTCAAACATGGCTGAAATTTAGTGGCTCTTAAGAATTATTAAGTACAGAGAACAAACTGTAAAATATTTTTCTCAATTAACTCATGAACTGTTCATGAAATAAGAATAGAGCAGCCGGATCAGCCTCAGCCGCCTATATTATTGCTTCTAATCAAGTACTGTTGTTTTAGCTGGACATTCTTTTCCTTCCCTTCTCCTTAGTAGTTTGTCTATAAATGCATCGACTTGTTTTTGGAAACTGAACTGGGAACTTGTGTGGTAAAATGAGTGAGGGAGAGCAACAATCACAGCCACAGATAGTATTAGAAATTGATGATCCGATCACAAAAACTGAATCACATCCCAAGTTTATAATTCATGTCCTGTCTTCTTTATCCTGCATCTTATCTAAGATCCATGCCGGGTATTTCAGGATCGCTCTTGCTCTGGCCAGTCAAGCTTTACTCTGGAAATTCCTCATAGAGCCAATCCAAGACGCGCATGCTCTTAGACGCTTGTTTTTAATAATACCCTCCACGGCTCTCATTCTCCTATGGTCAGTAGCATTAGCCACACTGGTCACACTTTCTATTCTCTACACCCTAAGATGCTTCTTTCACTTCGACAAGGTCAGGAAGGAGTTCTTAGACCCCGTGGGAGTAAATTACCTGTTTGTCCCCTGGATCTCCGGGTTGTTCCTGCTACAATCATCACCCCATATTCCTCCAACCACGGTACATTACCAAGTATTTTGGTTGGTGCTTGTGGTTCCTGTGGTGGTTCTTGATGTGAAGATCTATGGGCAGTGGTTCACCAAAGGGAAGCGACTTTTGTCGATTGCGGCAAACCCAACGAGTCTGTTATCGGTGATAGGGAACTTGGTGGGGGCGCAGGCTGCTGCGAGAATGGGTTGGAGAGAAAGTGGCTTGTGCATATTTTCTTTGGGGATGGCTCATTATTTGGTGTTATTTGTGACGCTATACCAGAGGCTAGCAGGAGATAATAGCCTCCCTGCAATGCTGCGTCCTGTTTTCTTCTTGTTCTTCGCCGCACCCAGCGTGGCTAGCTTGTCCTGGCATTCCATTTCTGGCAAGTTTGATGATTTCTCCAAGATGCTCTTCTTCCTTTCGCTTTTCCTCTTCATGTCCCTGGTAAGATTTTACTATTTGATCAAAATATATGTGATGTTTTATATATCTCTTTTCAAACCAGTGAGTATGGGTAATGAAAGGCTAACTTGGTGACCTTTGATCGATATCAGGTTTCAAGGCCCTTGCTGTTCAAGAAGGCGATGAAGAAGTTCAGTGTAGCGTGGTGGGCCTATTCGTTCCCTGTGACGGCTTTAGCCTTGGCTTCAGCACAGTACGCACATGAGGTTAAGGGGGTCATAGCCCATGCGCTTATGTTGCTGCTATCTTTAGTTTCTGTGTTGGTGTCCCTTATCTTAATGGTCGCTACTGTTATCCATACTCATAAGCCCCCATCTCATTCTAACACACCTCAGAACGACTGTGCAGCCACGTCTTCAAGTATTGACTTAAATTAATCCCTTCATGCATCTTTTTGTAGCACAAGATGCACTAGTTGAACTCTAGATTTTGGGTCATCTACATATGTTAAATTCAACTTAATGTATCGGACCAGATCACTGCTGTAAATTGATCAGCCTGTGGGAAGAAAAGCTTGTATCGTCGCCTTGTTTCCCCTTCTGCCAAAATTACTATAATGTCCTAAAGATAGTATTTATTTATGCCGGAGATTGTGTTCTTTTCTTTCCTTCCTTTTCTTATCCCTCTGATTATTCTGATAGCAAAAATTTTTGTGAGCTTGAAGCTCAAATGTTTGAGCAATAAAAAAAGTTACATAGTACTTGATCGCCGCAGTAATACTTCATATGGGTGAGATTTAGAACTCCAACTTCATAAAATATGAATTATTGCCAATTGGATCTGCTTGATGGCATTACAATAAAATATATGAAGGGTGGTGACCAGATTACCCTTACAATAAAATAATGTTTTTGGGGAATTACAATTACTCTCATTTCAGCCTCTCATTGTGTCTCGTTTCATGCTGATGCGGGTTACTCCATTTGTTGGATATTCCAACTGGTTTTTCTGTCGAGCTCACCCAATTCAACCTGATTCCTCAGGTGATCTTGCATTGATGTGTCATGCGAATCAAAGAAATTTGGGGCAAATTAGTCCTTTGGTTTCAACACTTCATTGTTTATTCCTTAATCTCCAGTACCAATCCTCCACCTCAACTACGGAATGATTTGGTCTCATCTTCAATGGAAAAGGAATGGGAGAAGGAATACTTTTCAAGCATACCAAACACAATGTTAACGCAACGAAAGGAAGAAAACGCACAAGTGGAGCGGAGCCATATATTTTGTTTCATTGCGATTTGGAATTGATAAACTTCTCCTTTCTCTTGATTATGGACTGAAAATACTGAGTGAACAATGAACTTCATATTTCCTTCGTAAGATACCCTAAGCATACAGTCAACAATTCCTGTTTTATAAGGTCAATGACATGTAATGTGGTCAAAAAAATATTAATACAAGTCAACTCAAGAGAAAGGCAGAGCTGCGATAAGAGACTGGCAAGCATTCACTGACCTGTTTGAAGAGCAGCGTGCACAAAAAATGGACCTAAGAAGCCGCCCCCAATACCAATTGCAATAACATCCTTCAAAGCCTTTCCTGTAGCTTCAACCTACAAAAGATAACAATTCTCAACACTCTCAAGTTCCATAATTTTCCATATGGGAAAATGTAGTGGTAGATTACCCAAGATGCACTGCGGACCCTCTCAGAGAATTCCTGGATCTTACCCAGGACTTTCCAAACTTCTGGAGCGACACTCTTTCCATCACTGTGTGTAACAGCATCCCTTGGAGCAGGAAGGGCTACATGAGGCACTGATCTATTCTTTGTGCTGTTAATCTGAAAGTCCACTACAAGAAGCACAAGAATTAATGACTCGGGCAATTTAGGACCCGAATCCATTATACATATATATATATATATATCACTTGTATTCAGCAGTGTTACGATGTACGGAACATTCAAGGCAAGATTTTCAGACATCTTTTAGAGATCTAGTAAAAACTTTCCATTAAAAAAAAAAAGGAAAAGGAAAAGAATTGTGTTAATATAGACAAGTATATAGTAGGTGTACTTGAGACTAGTTATATGTGTCCATAACCACTTACATGCTCCCTATTGTACATGCTGTTAATCTTTTGTTTCAGAGATGCAGCCTATATATCAGCACAACCAACAATAATAAGATGGCAGTATATCAGTATGGTATTTGACTTTTGGTTTAAAAGAACGGACCACACAAGTGCTAAAAGAATAAATTTGCTCTTGAGATCAATATATGTAAGCCAATTCAAAGAGTTTATTCATTGTTCCAAGAGCAGCCTGTTGCCTCGAGTAATCCAGCAGAATTCCATCAAACTCACTACAGAGGCAAAATACATCAAAGTCAGAAAGATATCCATCACAATGCAAGTGTTTTTGTGTTTCTTAATATTCTAAGAGCAAAGGAAAGTATGAATCATATTTTTATCCTAATCTTTCAACATCATTAAATCCTCAAAATTGCAGGCTCTTTATCTCATTGTTACGAGCTCTAAATCATATAATGGCGCATCATAAGTATATATAGCATCATGCACTGCCATTGATTCACATCTTTTGACATCACCCAATAGATCACGTAAATGGGTCTTTTTTATCTCATCAACAGGGGCACGGAAAAAATGAGCACTTGTTAATAGTATTTTTGCAGCAGTTCAACATACTACAAGCAAAAAAAGTATTATCCCAGTTACCTTCAACTCTTCCCAAGGTTGAGAGTCACTAATGAGAGTGGAGGAAGCCATTTGAAATTACGATCACTACTCACTAGCCTGCACCAAGAAATGCCGCCAACTTAATATGATGTTCGCCCAACTGTCAACGAATTTTTTTTTTTTTTTTTTATGTTTCTATCAGTATTCACAAGTGTCTAAGGACAAAATAATAAGATAAAGAAATCGATCAATTAACATTATACAAAAATCAATTCTTCAAAAAAGTTCAATGCAGATAAATAGTCGTATATTGTATTCTATTCTAGAGAAGTCGAGACTTAAAAATATGCAACGATTTTCTAGAGCTGGAACAGTGTATCGCCACGCAACGCCAATCAAAAGAAAACCCAAAGTATCCTCAGTTTACAGAGAATCTAATAGACACTCAAACTGTGAACGAAAAAAAAAAAGAATTAGAAAAAACCCATTGTTGATTATTCGAACACCATGCACATTTAACAAATTCATAATCATCAAAACTCCTTTAGCGCAGCAAGAAGCATGATGGATTGAAACATCGTTGATTTTAGAATAAAAATAATAATATCAGCATCCATAAATCACATAGATGACAATCGCTGAATTTTGCTATTACCAATTCATAATCCAACTTAATCTGATTTTAGAAGCCATTTCCAGCTCATATAGCATCCACTAATAATGCGTGGAAACAAACAAACAAGCAGTTGGAGAAAGACGACGTTGTTAATGTTAGGTTGTTCAAATGTGAGTGGATAAAAAACGATATAAAACTTCTTACATTGAATAAAGTTAGACTTAATAACTAACATATAATAAAGAAGGAGAACAATTTTGAGTTAAAATATGGCATTCTTCTACTGCTTTTACCCGTTTCTCCTCTCTTTTTGTTTTTGGATGATCGCTTTCCATTCCTAACAAATAGTATTAGAGCCAAGCGAAACTTGAGACTTGTAAACCCATTATTACTCACACATTTGAAGCCTAAAAATGGGATTGGCTCTAGTTGTAATAGGGACTTGTGTGCGCTACACCGTTGAAGCTAAAAAACTGGGTTGGTCCTAAAAAATAAGGGACTTGGTGTTTTGAGCATCTTTAATATGGGAAGCTTATGAATTCATACTTGAAGAGGAGATTATTAGGCTGTTCAAATGTGAATGGATATAAGACAATGTTGGAAGTTTCACATCGAATAAAGTTTGGCATAATAATTAGTATATAATAAAAGAAGAGTATCTATAAACTTGATTCTTGAAATTTTGAGTTAAGATGTAGTGTACTTCTGCTGCTCTTGCTCACCTCTCCTCTCCCCCAGTTATCAAAGCCAGGTTTCACCTAGACTTGTAAACCCGCTATTGCTCAAACATGTTGGCTCTAAAAAATAAGGAATTTGGTGTTTAGGCATCTTTGATACATGAAATTTGTACACTCACACTTGGGCTTAATAACTAGCATTATAATAAAGAGAAAGGATTTATAAATTTAAGTCTTAAAATTTTTTCCCATTCCTAATAGAAGAATATGTGGAAACCTCAATTTCAAAAAGTTAAGCACAAATAAGAGCTCAGCCGAGTGCCTTTATCAGGTAATTCTTAAGATAGCGTAACATGCTGAAACCGAGATTAAGCATCTAAATACGTATTGCACGCAGTTTCTGGCAATTGTGCGTAGCAACGAATGGTTTGAATAGAATTTGAGTAATGGTTTGATAACAAGAGAGAAAGAGAATATGCTGAGAGAGAAAGTGCTCAACAAGAGCATAAGATGGAAGAAGAGAGATGGTCTGGCTTTACCAATGGCATAAAGAAAACGATGGTGGCGACATGGCGTCAGGTTCTGGCCTTGGGAGGGAGAGCAGCTTGAAACGAGCGAGTTAGAACCTAGGACACTGATTATGTGGCAGCTCGCTGGATTGAACCATTCAGGGTTGGCTTCGATGCTACCTGGCAGATCCGCCACATTTATGCTTACATGTTACCATAGTCCATAGAAGTAGGCAAGACGTAGATACTACTTGAATACTTTTAATCAATAAATGAGTTTTATTGTTATAATATTATTAATAACAATAACTTATTATAAAATAAATAATTTATGAAAAATTTATATGCCTTGAGGCTAAGTATCTAAAACATGAGTAGTCGATTTCGACTACCATTACAATTACAGATAGCATTGTTTATTGTAAGCTCTATTTATATTAATTAATATATTTATAAATTATTAACACATAAATATCATCAATATAATATAGAACTTATATGTTTTTGATGAAATATTTAGCTTTACAATCCACTGATCATAAATAATTTTATCATCAGTTATATCCACTTAATGTAAAGAGCATATATTCCACTTTACCCCCATATTCTCATCTTTCATTCAATGATAGAACCAGAACTCTAAATTAGAGAGACAAATTTATTTAAATATATATTAATAATTAAAAAATAAAATAATAATTACATATTTTATAAATTATCTATATGATGGTTTCATGTTTTAGAATGACTGAACAATTAGCTCATTTTATTTTTAAGACTCATGTGGGATTAAAATTTAAAATATCAAAATGTAGGAGTGCAAAATAAGAGAAAGAGAGGGTGCAAAATAAAAAAAAACTTGTTTACTAATATGTAATTTTTTTCAATAAGGGGGGCATATGCCCACCCTCAACCCCCAATTACAAGCAGATTCACATAGGAATATTCAATCTTATACTTGTCTCAGTCAATCTAGTCTTATTTCAATCATATCAAGATGAGGGTTTTTTAATTCAAAAGAAGGGATGGGATGGGATATGGAGTTGTCCCTTGGATGTCCTATATATATATATATATATATATCTCACACACACGCATATATAATAGACATTAAATATAATAATTATATTCATATAAT